CTAGGGGCTTACACTTCTCAGCTTATATAGGCCAACCTCCATTCTACCTGCACAAGCCCCCTGCGTGCCACCCTCCCATCCCCCTCCATTTCAGGGACTCTCTGTCACTCCCTGCCAATTTTTCCCCTGCTAGGGTTCTATGCCCCCCATTCCCTCTTCCTCCTGCATGCCAAGCAGCTCTGTGTTCCCCCTCAATCCCACTTCTTTCCATGTCCTCCATTCCCATTCCCAATATCTGCGGCTTGTGTGCATCCAATACCACCACTCATTTGACATCCACTTTGCACAGGTATAAATGCTGGCAGAAAGTTCCAGGCAGTCAAGAACCGGGCCCTTTCCCTCCATCTCCCATGCCAATACAGACCACCAGCAGATTTTGTAGCGAGATTTCAATCATTTTCCCCACATTCTGAAAATTTCTCAACCATGATCAAAAAGTGGATGTATTTATCCAGGAGCAGCAAACTCCTCTGAGCCACGCAGCACATGTGACAAAGGACTTGTCTATACCAGGAAGATATTCCAGAATAAGGTACAGTTTGAGTTTAAAGTACTGGAGCTATCCTGCAATAACTCCCCATGTGGATGCTCTTATTCCAGAGTAAGAGTGCCTTTTTCTGGTTTAGCTTAATCCAAAAGTGGATTAATTTAAATTCAGAAATTCCTGAATAAGTGTGTCCAAACAGGGAGTTATTTCAGAATGGTTCATTCTACAATAGTTATTCTGGTCAATTTCCCCATGTAGAAAAACCCAAAATGGCGTTAAGAAGCTAAATCGAGCCACTAATTTGTTGGGATACTTCGGCAGGCTTGGAAGTCTCCTGTAACAATGACCCCTTGTTTCGGTGCAGGCATCCCAATATCAACTAACCAAATATTTTCACGTTCTTATAAATGTCATTCAATCAGGCCAAAAGTTATGCTGTGCAGCAGCTTTCCTTTTCAATCCCTCAACCCCATAAAAAAAAATGGAAGGCAAACCATCAACTTAAAAAGCAACAGAGGGTCCTGTGGCACCTTTAAGACTAACAGAAGTATTGGGAGCATAAGCTTTCGTGGGTAAGAACCTCACTTCTTGCATCTGAAGTTGTACCTTCTTGCTTTTTACAGATTCAGACTAACACGGCTACCCCTCTGATACCATCAACTTAAAGAGAGACAGAGACAGAGACACTCTGCTGGAAGTTGTGTGTAGGGATTTTTTTTTTCTAAATGTACTATTGTCAAAATAACAATTAAAAACCCAGTAGAAATACTGCAGCGCTGATGCATGGCAGGCCAGCAGCTGAGAATGTGCAT